CACCAAACACGCCATCTGCGAGTTCTCGCCGTTCTTCAAGAAGGGCGTCTTCGAGTACAGCAGCCACGGCACCGGCTGATCTAACTGTGAAGCCTCGGAAATCTTCTCCAAGTCAGAACAAAACAAACAAACTGCTCGGTGCCTTTTTGTTTCTTGGGAGAATCACCTCAGAAGGTCAAAGAAGGAAAAACTTGCAGGTCAGTTTCCTCTCCATCCTCCCGTCATCCTGCGGGACGAAGATCTCCAAGCTGCCACGTGCTGTCCAACTCTTAGTGGAAACTTTATCATGAACGTTAAAATAGGAAACGTTTCATTTCTGCATTATATATCCAGCCACAATTAATGATGCAACTTTGTACGGTCAACAGAATCTCTTGTTCGTAACAAACACTTTATTTCACACAAACGGCTATATATTAAATATATTTACATGCTGCTTTGATATTTACGGCAACTCCCTCGTGTAGTGACAAAAAGTAGAAGAAAACACTAACGCTGTCGGGAAAGTCCCTGAGCAGCTCAGTGGAGATTTATCCTGAAGAACCACTGCTTTCATCTACTGCTGAAACAATTAGTTGAATAACTAAATGGTCAATCAGGAGAAAAAAGTAACTTATTAAAGGTACCTGATAATTAATTGTTTAAGTAATTTACGTGCACTTGTTTCAGCCTCTTAAATGTGAGGATTTGTTGTTTTTCTGTGTTCAGAATCATTGTAAACCGAATATCTTTGGACTGTTAGTCTGACAGAATGATGCATTTCAGTACATTAACTTTGGCTCTGGGAAATTCTGTAGGACATTTTATAGACTAAGCAATTAATTTATTTTTGTCAGTGGGCTGGGCGAGGCATTAACGCTGGCAGGAGAACGGGTTCGATCGCCAAAATGCCTCGATGGCGCTGCAGAGCGGTTTGTGTGAAGGACACGTTGTTCGTTGTTACATTTCTTTGCATGCAGACACGGTACAAAGGATGTGAAGTTGTGGTGCTGATGCGGGTATAAATTAATTACAAAGCGTTAAACACTCTGATGCTACAGTTTGTCCGACGTGCAGCCTGCATGGAAAACGGAGCGAATATTTGTACGGCAGAGATTTAAAAGCTAAAGTCCCAAAAAATAGAATTGTTGTCAGACTGCTGATGTGACTCCAGCACTGTTTACAGATAAAGAGCAGACACAACTCACCAGGCACTAAAACCACGGTAACACTGTGGAAGAGAAGCTCAAACCATTCAGGAGTTGGGTTCATCGTGGTCTCACCTGCTCCAGTTTCACAGTCACAATTCTTCACGTCAGGTGCCCATAAGAACACTGTCTTCCTGCAATGGTTCCTCCTGTTGGACATGGATCCCTTCTTAATGTTCATTGGACGTGATTGAGAACAAATCCACACTCTTTCTTCTGTGCATAAAAAAGATTATCTAAAGTTAATATGAAGCTTTAACCATCCGAGTTGGAGAAATCAAGCGGATATTTTTCACAGTTACTAGACTGCTGAAGCCTCATATTAGTTTCAGATAAGCGTGTGGATTTTGTCCACTGACATCATCATTGTTAGATGGATCTTTTCAAGTCTAGTGTGAACAGGAGGGGATGATTACAGCAAGAAAAACCTCGCTTTTAAATGTTCATATGGTCACCTGAAGTAAGTTTTAACTCTTACCCTGCAAGGTAATTGTATAATTTTAACACAGTGTGTAGTTCAGAGTCATTTTCAGGATGTCCAGAAAAACAAACATGCAACTTGACAGTGATGTACAGAAACGTGTCTGATCTTTTAGGCTGAACACCTCACAACCGTTTCACAAAGGTTGCATTTAAAGAACCGTTGTTCACAGGACTGCGTAATAACACAGGAGTTTCTATTTTTCTGGTTGCTCAGTACATTTGAAAATCATGTTGAGTTGAATGATAATTTATAATAAATAAATAAATAAATAATAAAATAATTTTTGCTAGAACACTAATATTCAGCAAGAAAATATTTTAATTAAAAACCTTATCAGTCAGATTAAACGCAGGAGAGTTCTCAGCTGCCAGAAACTTAATTTAGGAATAAAGAAATAATCTGTCTTCACACCAGCTGTGAGTGAATGCTGTCAGGACGCTAAGACCTTTACCAGCACTAAACTGTCTATTTATTTTATTTTTTTTTTTTATGAACCTTTGAACTGCTAAAGGTTTAAAGGAAGTCCACACAGCTGTCACTGATGGCTGTCGAAGTTGGAAAAGTGCCCTGTGGAGGTTTCACACGGCATCAGATCTCATTTAAACTGAACTGTGACTGCCACGATAACTAACATTTAACCACTTTTTTATACAAATACTTTCTGTGCCATCTGAAAACATTTCTTCTAAGTCATGTACACCACCGGTCAGAAGTTTTAGAACACCCCCATGATTTCAGTTTGTATGTAAATCTAAGTAGTTCAAGTTCAGTGAAAAACCTTAAATGGGACAAAACGTATGCAGCAAACTGCTAAAAACAATGTTTATGACACACATCAATATTATATATAATAAAGTCCAAATAAAGCTTCTGAGGGTGTATTAACAGGCTGTTCCAACATGTTTACTGTAGAAATGTTTAATTTCTTTCCACTGCTGCAGAATAACTTGAAGTTGTTCTCAAATTTACATCATTTTTCAGTTTTTCTGACCTTAACTTTGTCTTTACCTTCTTTGGTTATTCTGCAGCAGTGGAAGGAAATGAAGCCTTCAAACATCTTTCTACAGTAAACATTGTTATTACACCCTCAGTGTGTGCATGTGATATCGGCAGGGGTTGAAACAGCTCCACTTTCAGAATTCCCAAATGTCAAGTAATCCCAGTTTTAGTGCCAACGAATTCCAAAATTTTACATGACAACACCAAATTAGCCATAAACGTATTCTTCAAATGTAGTTTTATCCTCACATTTGAAAGGACGTTGTGGTATTTAGGAGCATTTATTAGTCTTCAAAGTTAGAGATCATAAACGTCTCTGTGTAGTTTGGTCTGTGTTGGCGCTTTTCTGAGCTCTAATCACTTACTTTACGAATTCATCTAAGGAATATTGCTTTTTAAAGCAGCATCATGAATTATTGAATTGGATGGAAGTTTGGCGAGAGGTCTATTGTCATGTTTCAGGACATCAAGAGTTGCTGAAGAGCCACGGACAAAAAGTGACCCACAAACCTGTAAAACAAACGATTAGAGCCTCAGAAGATGACTGTGTTGTTTCGTATACATGACGCCATTTTTCCTCACTGTATCTGCACAAATTCAAATGCATAATTTGACATTTTCCCACATAGACAAATAACTCATTCAGAGATGGAATATTCTGTCCCTCCGGCAGCTCAACACTATATTACAGTGCTGATTTTATTTTCCAATAAATCTGCCTCTTTCATCGAGCTGCAGCTGTTCAATGCTGAAGTCTTCCAGAGCCTCGCTGTTAGCTACAGGAAACAGGTTTGGACATCACACCAGCCCAGTTGAATTTGCCTGAAAATGAACCACCAACCACTGACTGCTTTTTCATAAGCCATACTGTGTGTGTGTGTGTGTGTGTGTGTGTGTGTGTGTGTGTGTGTGTGTGTGTGTGTGTGTGTGTGTGTGTGTGTGTGTGTGGTGTGTGTGTGTGTGTGTGTGTGTGTGTGTGTGTGTGTGTGTGTGTGTGTGTGTGTGTGTGTGTGTGTGTGTGTGTGTGTGTGTGTGTGTGTGTGTGTGTGTGTGTGTGTGTGTGTGTGTGGAATGTAAATGTTGATGTGAATAATTTTTCTATACGATGTGCTTGTATGCAATGTGAACAATTGACATTGAATGTCAGTAAAGGGAATGTACCACAACACTCAGACTGTCGACTGTTTTTTTTCTCTCTGAATAAATAACTGTTAAAGGGATAGTTCAACACATTAAGAAATACGCTTATTACTTTATTCAAAGTTAAGGGTTATCAAACAGGACTAGTTTATAGCCATGCTAACTGCTTTTAGACACAGTGGTGCTTTGAGCTCAGTGCTAACACAGCATGCTCACAATGACGATATTGACGTGTTTATCAGGTATATTCTTCACCATATTCACTGTAACTATTGATTTATTTGGTTTATTACCAAAACTATTCGTAGCACAGCTGCTCGAGTCCTCACTAAGACCAAGAAAGTGGATCACATCACTCCAGTTCTGAGGTCTTTACATTGGCTTCCTGTATGTCAAAGAATTGATTTCAAAATCCTGCTGTTAGTTTATAAAGCACTAAATGGTTTAGGGCCAAAATACATTTCTGATCTTCTGCTTCATTACGAACCATCCAGACCTCTCAGGTCGTCTGGGGCAGGTCTGCTTTCTGTCCCCTTAGTCAAAACTAAACAAGGAGAAGCAGCGTTCAGTTATTATGCTCCGTATATCTGGAACAAACTCCCAGATAACTGCAGGCCTGCTGAAACTGTCAGTTCTTTTAAATAAGACTGAAGATTTTTCTTTTTACCAATGCCTTTTGGGTAATATTTCATGCACTGCTTTAAGGTTATCTAAAGCATTCTGAATTGCTGTGTTGAAATGTGCTACACAAATGAACTTGCATAAAATACTTGGTCATAAATAAGAAAAGGTGTTGGACACATCAACATGTTGACCTGATGATGGCGCTAGATGAAAAGTCAGAGGATCACCAAAGTTATTACAGTTGGCAAGCGAGTGTGGCAAGCGTCAAATTCCTCAAATTATTGACTTGAAACTGCGTAGTACGCGGATGAATGAATTGAATAGTTCGGCCCCCTTGTCACCGATACCTGATTCAGTCAGTGTCCGATCGGTGCATCCCTATTAAAAACCACATGAAACAAAGCAAAGAGATATTTCACTTTTGTTAAACAAATCGTTTCATCAAATGAAACTTCAATGTAACTAATTCAGCAATGCTATATGCTACAGTGAATGGAAAAGTAAATACAAATTAAAATGAGGAAACTCGAGATTGAAGAAGTTACAAATGTCTCAAGTCAAAAGGATTGTGATAAAAGCATTATTTATTGTTGTTTACAACAACCTTAGTGATTTAGTTTACCTGGTAAACACTGTCATCACCAGCAGCATCAGAAAATTCTCAGCAGCAGGATGAAGGACGAGTCCCCTCAGAAAGAACATTTAGATTTGTTCAAAACAGTATGTAAAATCTGCGTGTTCATTATCGCATGCAACTCGTGTTTTGATCAAAGAGAGCGAGAGGTAGAGAAGAAGTCAAGTAGTTTGGATTTGAAATTATCCAGTTGGAGCAGAGTGTGAACATGACACCTGGAGGAGTTCAGTGTTTAGTGGCAGGTCCAGCAGAGTTCTGTCCCCCCAGGATCTGCTCTGAGGGCCTGAAGGGAAAGTCGTACAGAGGAACACCCAGAGCCTTCAGCTTCTCCCTACAGGTGTGCAGCAGGTCGTCGTACTCCTGCAGGTCAGGGGTTTGATGTCATCACCACATCAGCTGACAGACTTCTCTGAGAATCATTGATTATATTAAAACATAAAAACCCGACTGACCTTTCGATCCTGAGCCAAGTCACTCTGCAAGGCGCTGATGGTGGCGTGCTTAGACTCCAGTATTTCCTACAAGAAGAAAAACACTTTCAGGTATTTGTTCTTGAACAGTTGGAGGGTCTGTAAATAATAACAAACCAAGCACAGAACCTTGTGGTGCCACTTCAATCATTAAAAAGGAAGTTGTTTTGAGACCATCAGTACAGATCGCCTTTGTTCTGTAAGACAAATATGCTCAGAGCTGCACAAATCCAGATGCAAAGACGCATTTTTAACTTTTCGAAACATCAATATGAAATGTCACCTCGAGTCTGTTTGCGGCGCTGCTGCCTGCAGTTTGGTCGACGTAGGAGGCCGAGAGCGCGGCGCAGAGCTGAGCTTCCTTCTTCTCCAGCGTTTCAGTCAGCGCTGCCAGCTTCCTCTCCAGCAGCAGCTCCTTCAGGCCACTCTTCTGCTGCACGTCCAGGATGGCCTCTGTCTGCCGCTTCAGCAGCTCGTCTCGCTCCTGCTGAACCTGCCGGGCACGGAGACGCTCGTATGAAGACCTGCAGGGCTGAACAGAAGGTAAAACCTGTGATGTGACTGACCTTTTCAAACGCCTGCAGCAGCAGCTCGTGCTCCACCGTCAGATCCCTCAGCTCCTTTTCAACGACCTTCACTCGAGCTCTGGTCGTCTGTCAGATGCATAATTAACAGTTTGTCATGTGAAAGATGGAAAAATATACAGAAATTTGACTCAAGATGCGTAGGTTTTCCTTAAGCACGGGTAACAATGAGTATTAATGCACAAAATATTGTAAAATAAACAGATATCCAAGATTATCTGCTCAACTTAAAACACTGAAATACTAACATGAAATAAGCTTCATTTTTAGTTAAGAGAGCTTTCTGAACCCTGTGCAGTGAACGCACCACCATCGCGGCCTTGGCCTGGTTGTAGTCTTGTAGCTGTTTTTGGAGCTCGGGCAGCCTCAGCTGGGCGTCCTGCAGAGACTCTCTCAGGCGTTTGTTCTCCTGCTCGGCTGCTGAAAGCTCTTTGTCCGCTCGCGCCTGCAGCTTCGTTGCCTCTGCAAGTTCCTCCTACCAAACAACAAACAAAACCATGGCAGCCACCTCAAACCAAAACAGAAAACCCTTTACTTCACATTGTCACCACATGTGGTTTTCTAGTCAAGGTTAGAGCTTTCAAATAAAACTGATTTATTCACAAAATATAAGAACATCATAGAGCCAAATAAAAACACAAAATAGGGACAATTTATTGTAGCTCCAGAAACTTTTTCTGTGAGAGCAAAATAACTATTTACAAGTTAATTATTTGAAGGTGGAGAAAACACATTTGTGAGTGCCTGAAGTAGACCCATTGGTAAAAAATTGTGCATCAATTATTTTTAAATAAGTAAATAAATCACTTCTCAAATAATTCAAATAGACGTCGGGACAGAAGATATCCTGAAACATCTTTGTGAAACAACTGAATAAATATTATTTTAGTTCAGGGAACCCTTACTGTGAGAGCAAAATAATATATGAGATACAAATAACTTTTATATGGATATGTTAACAATATTGACCTGAACATTGAACATTGCCTGAAAGTCTATAGTAAAAACAAAACTCTAAATAAAGTGAATCAACCTCTTCACATTCCTGCCATTAAAGTTCAGTAGAAACAGTGAGTTTTTAATTTGAGCTGTTACTCCTTCACTCCAGCCTGTACCGCCTCTCACCTTCAGCTCCTTCTGATCCGCCAGCAGTTTGGTTTGAATGGCTGAGTAGTATTCCTCAGCGCCTCGGAGAGCTCTGTCGTGGTCCTCCACCAGAGTCACCACGCGACTCTTCATTCTGTCCTCAATCTCGTTGATCTCGGCCCGCCGCCTTTTGCCCTCCGCTTCGATCATCGTCTGCATTTTCTTGTGATATTTCACCTCAAGTCCTGTTTATAAAGCAACAGAAGGAAAATGTTTAGATGTTTTTTTTTAATTGTAACTCAAATGGAAATGGGGTTTATTCACCTCTGATTCTTCTGTCGTAGATGTTTGCCAGCTCCATTAGCTCCACCTGGTGTTTCTGTTGGGAATCAGACAGACGTGAGGCATAGCTGTAGAAATAAAGCAGCTGAAAGTTTTAAAAATGAAAACCAGACTCACCAGCTTCAGCTCCTTGATGCAATTTTCGTTGTGGAGCTTCTTCTCCCTGAGGTCCGCCTGCAGGCCGTGCTTTTCTCCCTGGAGCGCAACCTCTGACTCTGTGTGCTGGTTCTGGATCAGCGAGGTCGAGGTGATGCCGTCCGTCTTCAGCACAGAGATCGCGCCGTGGTGTTCGGCCAGGACGTGCTTCAGCTTCTGCTTGTACACCTGAATGCCAGCACCGTCCACGCACCAATCAGACGTGTTTCAGTGTAAGTAAACTTTCAATACACTCACTTGAATCAGATGAATCATATAGAGATGGTGGGATGTTATTTTCTACAGAAGGAAATGCTAGAAAGTTTAAATAATTTAAAGAAAAAACTGAATTTTGTGCAGCACAAAAGCCTGTGTTTTACAGGTTCCTCTCTGTGTGTTTACTGGTTCCTCTCTGTTTGTTTACAGGTTCCTCTCTGTTTGTTTACTGGTTCCCCTCTGTTTGTTTACTGGTTCCCCTCTGTTTGTTTACAGGTTCCTCTCTGTTTGTTTACAGGTTCCCCTCTGTTTACTGGTTCCTCTTTGTTTGGTTACAGGTTCCCCTCTGTTTACTGGTTCCTCTTTGTTTGGTTACAGGCTCCTCTCTGTTTGTTTACTGGTTCCTCTCTGTTTGTTTACTGGTTCCCCTCTGTTTACTGGTTCCTCTTTGTTTGGTTAAAAGGCTCCTCTCTGTTTGTTTACTGGTTCCCCTATGTTTACAGGTTCCCCTCTGTTTGTTTACAGGTTCCCCTCTGTGTATAGGTTCCCTTATGTTTATAGTTTCCCCTCTGTTTGTTTACTGGTTCCCCTATGTTTACAGGTTCCCCTCTGTTTACAGGTTCCCCTCTGTGTATAGGTTCCCTTATGTTTATAGTTTCCCCTCTGTTTGTTTACTGGTTCCTCTCTGTTTACAGGTTCCTCTCTGTTTACAGGTTCCTCTCTGTTTGTTTACTGGTTCCTCTCTGTTTACAGGTTCCTCTCTGTTTGTGGGTTCCTCTCTGTTTGTTTACTGGTTCCTCTCTGTTAATCATCTCTCAGATTCATCTTTTTCTGACCACAGTGGGTGCAACCCCACACTGCTTTTGATGTAAATTCAACTTTACATAAAATTTCTGAAAAATAAGACTAATTTGAAGAATATTATTTTGTTGTTGCAGTAGATAAATAGAAAGAAGAATATAGGTAAGGTGTGCGTGGACACGTCAGGCTGTGCAGTACTGAGAAGCAGTACATAGGAGTATAAGTATATGTAAATATATTTTTTGGATTTTTACATACTCTACTACTCTAATTCTCTCTGTACTCTGACAGTATTTAATCAAACACACACTTTAAAAACTAATTTATAAAAATATTCCAGTAAAAAATAAAAATAAAGTCTTTGACTAAATGTGCATGCAGCTCACAGTGATCTCCACTCGGTGGCGCTCCTCCGCCTCCTCTCTCTCCCTTTGTCTGTTCCTCAGCTCGGCCTTCGTCTCCTCCAGGTTCCTCTTGGAGATTTCCCAGAAGGCCTGGATCTTGTCCCTCTCCAGCTGGAAGTAGCTCCTCTCCTCCCGCTCCCTGTCCAGCTCCTCTCGGAGGCGAACTATGTGCTCCTCCAGCTGGAAGTTCACAGACAACCCATACAGTGAGAGCTGGACGGTCAGTGCTCAATCCTACCTGTTTGTTTCACTTTATTATTAATTCTCTCCTTGATGGATCAGATTTTATTTTTGTTAGATCATAATAGCTGCAGAGCACGTACTTCTGCTTCACCAGGGGTTTTTAAAGCCTGAGACTGTGCACCTCCTCTCTGACAAAGCTTGGAAAAAGGTGCATCCCCTTACACTCCCCTTAGTTTTCCTGGATGATTATGTTATGATTATGTTATTTGATCCCATAAACACTCATCAATCAGAGAGCCTAATATAGCAGTTTGACATCCTATCAGACTAAATCGAGTACTTAAACAAAGGCATCTATTAGTTTCTGACTCTGGGAAAGTGGGAAAGACTCTCTGAACTATCTATTTAACTAAACTATGCACATTTAGGCGGTCTCTCATCTCCTTCTGATAACATGACTTCTTTAAAAATGCCCCCCAGGAATGCCGCCTCCCACTTTGATGACCTCAGGGCTACACTAAGGGGGGTTGATGGTGCAGTGGACAAGACACATGCCTCTGGTGTGAGAGACCCGGGTTCAATTCCCCACATCCACCAATGTGTTCCTGAGCAAGACACTTAACCCCTAGTTGCTCCAGAGGTGTGTGACCTCAATAGCAATTGTAAGTCGCTTTGGATAAAAGCATCAGCTAAATGAAAATAAAATGTAACTAAAACTTTAATTAGTGTAGCAGTTTAAAGTTGTTTGATGGCTCTGCTTTAAAAAAATTATATTCTACCCTACATGCTCTGTATTGGTGGTGCTTTATTTAAATATTTTATAGCAGTAGTATCTGTAGAGAGGAGTGTCAGTGTGGATCTTTTGGATCAGGAAGCTTTGGAGATCTTTGGTTTACTGTTTACATGCTTCACCATAAGTAGAGATGTTAGGCTTCAAGCTAACAAGTAAGCAGCCATTTTGACCCAACACTTCTTACTATTAACTCGTAGTACACCATGCAGCAGCTTCCTCCATCACCCCAACCTCCTCTTTACATGCTCATTTTTTGGTATTACACATAAGATTTATATTTGTGTTTTTCTATTAATGGGGGATTAGCTCCCCAGTCAGAATTAGTGTTGCTGCTCAGATTCTTGGAGAGCTCCCTCAAACAGCTGAGCCCTTTCCACCACATCTACCTGCACCAGGGCTGCATGTCAAGAACACTTAAGTCGAAGAAGCTGGGCTGGAGACCAAAACCAAAAGGTGCACATTCAGTGTTCTCCACACCGATGGGAAACTGACTAATTTGGGTCTCAGTAAGGGTGCAACTTCCTCCAGAAATAACATCCAAATGTTTGTTTATGTTGACATTAAAATTTTTTTAATGTCAACTAATATTGCATCATAAGATGTTTTTATTCTTAATGTCTGGTTCAATATCAGAGTAAAAGTAGGTAGGTAGATTTATTTTATTTACAATATATTAGGTTATAGAGTGAAATTGAGTTTGTAACTCCCTTCTGCTGTGGCTCAGGGGGTAGAGCGGGTTGCCTGTTAATCGGAATGCCGGCGGTTCAATCCCCGGCTCCTCCAGGCTGCATGTCAAAGTGTCCTTGGGCAAGATACTGAACCCCGAATTGCTCCTGGTGGCTGTTCCACCAGTGTGTGAATGCAGATGTAGTGTAAAAGCGCTTTGAGTGGTCCAAAAGACTAGAAAGGTGCTATACAAATATGGAGCATTTAATATTGGCATTATCCAGAGTGGTTTATTATTATAAAACTTATTGGAAGCAGCATTGTCACTGGACGAGGGGGAGCAGATGTTTACTACTTTACATATTGTTGTATTCTTTAATATTTTAAATAAGCTGACTATATGTTTTTTTTAATATAAACTCTGTAACTGTCAAATAAATGTAGTAGAGCAAAACGCACAATATATAAGTACATCTGAGAACAAAGTAGTGGTAGTAAATGAAATCGTTCAAGTGAGTTTAAGTACTCAAGTCCTCAAAGCTGGACCAAAATATAAAAAGGGCTACATTTTCTACATTTATAAAATAAGATACAAATAATATAAATAATACACTTTATTTGTCATTGTAGGCAAATGATGACAGTTTTGTTTGGCAGCTCTCAGTGAGGAGCAGCATCAATAAAAGTAGGATAAATATATATAATTAATCAATATAATCAATCTAAATGTAAGGATGAATATAAGTATGAAAGAGGAGGCACATCATTGCACAAAATGTAAAGATGGACCTCAGCACAGTTATTTATTCATTTCCCACACATTAATGTGCTGGAGTTCAGAGCAGCAACAAAAACACTGGGCTGCAGCTAGCATGTGAAGCTACACCCTTTCATGTTAGATAGCTTTGACGAAGATAGCCGTGTTAGCATCTCTGACCTGATCCTTGGACATCTCTTCTGTTGAAAGACCGTCCACCACAGCAGAAGAAGACTTCCTCTGCCCGGCCTTTTTGCTTTTGGTCTTCTTTGGCGGCTGCACAGAAACACATCAACATTTACACCAAGCTAATAATAGTTAGCGTCCATGCTATAACTGTAGCTGGCTGATGCTAAGCTACTACATGCTAACCGTACTCCACAACATTACTGTGATAAAACTACTGATTAAAACAAAGCGTTTCCTCACCATGGTGAAGTATCGTGCTGTCCCACAAACGTCGGTAGTGACAAAAGTTTAAGTTTTAATAACTGCTAGCTAGCGTTAGCGTTAGCCGCAGCTGCAGCTCGGCTACACTGAGCCAAACAGCAAGCGCTGCCATGGCAACTTCTTCTTCTGTTCCTTTTCCGGCAGACTAGGCACGGTTAGTGCATTGCTGCCTCCCATTGGTGATAGTAACAGTCTACATTAAGGCTCCTCCTGGCCTATATTTTCCAATAAAGGCCCGCAGATTTTAAGAAGTAAATTAATTCCAATGCCCTCTGTTTTTGATTAGGACCTTCACCCATCAGAGTTTTAAAGATAATAGTTCAACTCCCAGATCGTTTAGACCCATGAATAACAGTCTCCTTTCCTCAGCATATCTCAGACATATGCTGTGCATGATGATATGTTTGACCAACTCCTCTACTCCACATTCTTGACGCTTGCCGTCCCTGTGTTTCCCCACCAGAAACAGTCCACTTGCCAACCCGCAATGTCCCAATCTTAATCTGGCCAATTTAATTTGATCCATCTGAGGCAAGTTCATTATATTCCCAGGGTTTACTGATTGTTTGATGTCATGTAACGTCTTTACTCCACTCGTGCTGCCATTGTTGGGTCAGGCTTTACTTGATGATGCTACAGAGCTCCAGTCTGTCAAATGGAACCTCCACCTCCACATTTTCCCTACCTCAACTTGCCCTAGCCGCCTCATCAGCAGCCTCATTCCCCTCAACCCCCACATGTGCTGGAACCCACAGGAAACCCACACTACACCCCCGCCTCTCTGGCCTATAAACCACTGTTAAAATCTCCCTGACTAAGTCTGACCTAGCACCATCTCTTTCTCCCCCTATCGCCATCAAGCCAGACGGTCAATCAGAACAAATAATGGATCTAGCTGCTGATCCATATGCATGACACCCATAATCAAAAACTGATCTTATCGTGTATCCAACAAAGGTTTAAGTCAAGGGCAACTGGACTTGGTTGAAGATACTGGAAGACGTTTCGTCCCTCATCCAAAGGACTTCTTCAGTTCTGACTGACTGGCAGGGAAACTCAGCTATTTAACCTCAGTGGGGTCGTTGGCCCGGGTCATCGATACCGCTGGTTCGTTAGTGTTCCTTGTTGCTGTGACGACAGTCGTTACAGTCGTTAAGACTACCTGTGGCCAAGACTGAACGACCATTGTTGGTATCTTCACCTGAGGACAATAGGTTACGTTTGTTGAGTTTCCTGGGAAGTGATGAAAGGACAGCATTGTAAGTGGGGGATAAGTGGTGGCGTAGACCCCCTCCTCTGTTCAATGACGGCTTCTCAACCCTGGTGTAGATGCTTCCTTGACACCTCTTTCAAACCATCCATCTTCTCTGTCTAAAATGTGCACCTGGTGGTCCTCAAACGAGTGTCCTCTGTCCTTCAGATGTGAGTAGACTGCAGAGTCTTGACCTGAGGAGTTGGCCCTTCTGTGTGAGCCATGCGTTTGTGTAGTGGTTGTTTAGTCTCCCCAATATACAGGTCTGTGCATTCCTCACTGCATTGGACCGCATACACTAGATTGCTTTTCTTGTGTTTGGGGGTGCGGTCTTTGGGGTGGACCAGCATCTGTCTTAGTGTGTTCTTGGGTTTAAAAAACACAGGGATGTTGTGTTTGTTGAAAATCCTCCTGAGTTTCTCTGATACTCCAGACACGTATGGAATCACAATTTTTCATGTAGATGTTTGCCACAATCGGGGATACCGGTGAGCCCATGGCACAGCCCTGCTTCTGTCTGTAGAATCCTCCATTGTACTGGAAGTAGGTGGTGTTTAGACAGAGGTTGAGTAATTTACAGATTTGGTCAGGGCTGAGGCTAGTTCTGTTGTCCAGGGTGTTGTCTTGTGTTAGCCGTTTCCTGACGGTTTCTACTGCCTCTATGGTGGAGATGCAGGTGAACAAAGAAGTCACGTCATAGGATACCATGGTTTCATCTGGATCCAGTTTTAGTCCTCGAACTTTGTTTTGGATGTGGTGAGGCGTGTTTCCCACCAAAGGAGCTTAGATGGTAGATGGTAGTCCTAACGACTGTAACGACTGTCAGCAACAAGGAACACTAACGAACCAGCGGTATCGATGACCCGGGATAACGACCCCACTGAGGTTAAATAGCTGAGTTTCCCTGCCAGTCAGTCAGAACTGAAGAAGTCCTTTGGATGAGGGACGAAACGTCTTCCAGTATCTTCAACCAAGTCCAGTTGCCCTTGACTTTAACCTTCATTGGATAACTATGACCTGGATGACTGAGAATCTTCATAGTGATCTTATCATGGCTTTATAAATCATCAGCATAAGCTTCCTGTCTGCACCCCAAGAACACCCAGCCAAACACCTCATAATATGGATAACCTTTCCACACTTATTTACCATTCTACTTACATATTCTTTATAGGTTAACTTTTCATCCAACCAGACACCAAGAAACTTGAAGACCCTAACTCTCTCAAGAGGTTCCCCATACATCTTAAGGCCCTGACTGTCTATGTTCCTCTTCCTGCCAAAAACCATATACTTTGTTTTTGTCAATGATAACCTAAAGCCCCACTTCTCACTCCAAGCCTGCACCTTATCCAAAGCCCACTGCATCTTTTTAAATAGATACCCAGTATTACGGCCTCTTTTCCACATTGCCACATTCCCATCATCTGCGAACAAAGATCACTGAAATCCACTTCCTACTTCATCAAACATATTATTGACCATTATATTGAACAGGACTGGACTGATGACACTACCCTGTGGAGTCCCATTATCTACAATTACAGAGTCAGAAAAGCTCCCTCCCACTCTTACCTGAATACTCTGTAGCTTCAGAAAGTCCTTAATCCAATTAATCATTCTACCCCGATTCCCTGCATCATACAGCTTAATGACTACTCCTTCTTTCCACAACATATCACAATCCTTCTCTATATCAAAACACACACCTACCACCACCTCTTTATTTACAAGGGCTTTCTTGACATCATCGTCCAACACTAAAACTGAATCCATAGTCCCATGACCAAGTCTGAAGCCATTCTGATATGCGGAGAAAAAACATTTCTTTTCTAATCTATATACCAACCTGTCAGTAACCATCCTTTCCATAATCCTACAAATGACAGCTGTGAGTGCAATTGGCCTATATGATCCAGGGCTTTCAACTTACTTACCGGTTTTTAAAATTGGCACAAGAACTGCATGTTTCCATTTAGCTGGATAAATACCACACTGTTTTTATCAATGCCAGTACCTCCTCCAATGCAAAGTCATCCATATGCTGAAAGATCTCATATCTCATATCCCAATCTCTCCCAGGAGTAGTGTGTCGCCCTCGTCTTATTGCCCTCCTTAGTTCATGCATAGAAAAGAACATATTGATTACATCACTATTGTCGTTATTCCTATCAAGTTTGTGCCCTTCCTGCTCAAGCTAATCAAACCTTCTCTACCAACATTCCTATCACTGTGCACTTGCTGGAAACCCCTAACCAACAGATATGCCTTGTCCTCATTACTTACCACTTCACTACTCCCTTCTACCAAAACCGGAATAGAGAAACCTCTATTAATTCCAGCCATCCGATGAATCATGTTCCAGACCTGTTTAACAGTAGTCTCAGAACCTAAAGTACCACAGAACTTCTGCCAACTCTCTCTCTTCGCACATTTTGTAACCTTTCTAGCCTCAGCTCGCCGTTTCTTATATTCAATAACAAGGCTCTCAACAGGACATCTGCGAAGCTGCCTATAAGCTCTATTTCAAACCCTCACAGCCTCATCACAAGCCTGGTTCCACCACGGCACTACTTTTCTCTTTTTCCTCTCACTCTTAAATTGAATGGCTTTTTCTGTTGCTTTCCTCACAACTCCACAAAAAGAATTACTTCACTTATCAGTGCTATATTGGCTAACTACATCTCCTAAGCTTGCTACCAACTGTTCTATGAATTTATCCCAATTTGATTTTGGGAAAATTAAACCCCCTCTCCGCTCTCTCCTTCTTCACCTGTAAAACACTGCCAAATGTTCTTAAAATAGGAATATGATCACTCCCTGAGGTGTTAAGTTCCATAGGATCCCAACCCCCTACACCTAGCAAGTTCTCCTGACGCAAATGTTAAATCAATACATGACAAGCTCCCACTACTCACTTGAACATAACAAGCTCCATTTCCATCTCTGATTCTACTGCCCCAAAGAGGAGTGTGAGCATTAAAATCTCCTGTCCACACCATGAAAACCTACCTGCTGAGCACCATACCTCAGTTGCGACACATTCAAGTCCTGAGGTTACATTTACTAGCCTTTATTGAGCACCTTTTTTTAACAAAAATTGCAAACCCCCCTCCAGATGCATTTCTGTCCTTACGTAAACAAAAACTAAAGTCGGTTCAAGCCATGTCTCCTGAATGCATATTAGCTGTGTTTTTTCTTTGAAACCATCCACAAACTTCTTTAATTCCTGTCCATTAGCTACCAAACTTCTGGCATTCCACTGCAGGATACAAACATTAAGAGATTAATTGTCAACCTCATCATCTTCATCATCTTCCATTTGGTTTCCATTATTTTTTCCACTTCTGTCTGTTGAGAACACATATCTATATAGGGTAGCTGGCTCAGCCCCTATAACCCCAAGACTCCCCTTAGCAGCACTTCTTACAACAACTGAATTATTCTTAGTCTGCTCATGTCACACATTACTTCCACAATGAAAGCCAGGAATTCCATCTTACTCACCACCACTGAATCTTCTGTTACACAGGCTGGCGGAGGGCATTCCCCTTCTCTCCTCCTTATATCCCCCACCTCACCACTTGTTGCAACTTTTTTAACAGCCTCAGCATAAAATACCCCTTTGTTAGTCTTAGGGAAAAAAACATTATTTTGATAAACCCTTCTTTAAGTGTCTGGCCATTTGGTATATTATCACAATAAAACCAAAAAACTCCACCTGACTCTTGTCAATGTGCTGGATCATTTGCATATTAAAGTTAAAAACATGAATTGTAATTAAAATAGCTTCTATTTATGTTTACATTCAGCTTGTAAAGTGTCATTGTGATATGAGTAAAGCTGAGAAAAAGCCTATTTGACTGAGGTGTCTCGCC